CGACGGGGGGCGTGGTCATTGGGGGCGGGGCCGCCGAGAGGCGGAACCTGAGTGGAGTGCGGGAAAGGGAGGGCTGAGGGGCGGGGCCGCGCAGGGGCGGGGCCTGCGAGGAGCAGAGGGAGGAGCGAATGGGCAGACAGAGAGGAGGGAGCAAGGGCAAGACTAGAAAGGGGTGGGGCATGCAGGGGCAGCGGAGAGGAGAGGGAGGAGGATGGATAGGGAGGAGAGTGGGGAGAGGAGAGGAAGGAGGAGAAGCTATTGGGAGGACAGAGAGGGGGAAGAGGGAGGAGGGGCTTGGTTGGGTCAGACGAGGAAGAGGAGGGGCCTGGAGCGAGCCAGGGCAAGAGGGACGGAAAGAGGGGCAGAGGGAAAAGGGATTCAGGGAAAAGGGAGTATGGATACTAGAACTGAGAAGAGGAAATGGGAGGGGAACAGGAGGGACTGAATGAGAGGGTGAGGCGACAAGCGAGGAGCACAGCCCGGAGCTAGGAGAAGAGGGCGGAACCAAGGAGGAGCAGGCCCCGGATTGGAGCAAGGGCAGAGCAGGAAAGGCGGAGGCAAGAGAGGCAGGTAAACTAGAGAGGGGTAGAAAGCAAAGCAGAGAGAGGGGGATGGGGGGGAGGGGGAATAAGGAGGAGAGGGAGGGGCAGAGAGAAGAGGGTAGAGCGAGCAAGAAGATGAGGAGCAGGGCTGTCAGGGTAGGGGCCCTGGAGAGGAAAAATGAAGGGTGGAGGTGAGTCCAGAGGAAGGGATGGAAGGGACAGGAGGAGGGGAGGAACCAGGGAATGGAGCCAGAGGACGGACAGAGGGAAAAGGGAAGATGGGAGAGGTCCAGGAGTAGTGGACAGGGAGAGTAGGGTCTATGGAGAAGGGAGGGATGGAGGGAGGGAAGAAAGGAAGGGAGAGGGAGGGAGGCCAGACTGCACAGCAGAGGAGGAGGGAAGAGTGGGGGCGGGGTTTGTCTGAGCAAGCCACGCGAGAGGGCGGGGTCATGGACGAAGGGCGGAGTCACAGGGAAATGGGACTGCAGTAGAGGAGGAAGTTAGGGGAAAGCTGGGGGAGGGGCAGTGAGAGGACTAGGAAGAGCTGACGTGAGGATGAGGAGGGCTCAGGACCCCTGCTTAGAGCCTTGATCCCACCCACACTCTTGCTCCTGACTGAGTCCCTGAGCCTAAATGACCCAGCTCAGGCTGCAGGACTCTAGAGACCAAAGCTGAATACTGTGGTCCCAGAAAGGAAGTGGGGTACGGTAGGAAGAAGGGGACCCAGGCCAAACCTGAGGAAGGAGGGTCGGGGAAGCCAAAGGCCTGAGGAGCTGTTGGGGAGAGTGGGCTTGGGAAAGGGGCAGGGCTGGAGGGGTTGAGTTGAGCAGCCGGATGGAGAATAGGGAACGGGAGGGACCCCTGTGGAAATCTGCTCTCACTATACTCAGAGCCTCCTAGACCCAAGATCCCAGATCAGGCCCCATAGTCTAGACCTCAGACACAGACTGTGAAGCCTGATCCCACGTGTGAACTCTGAGACCCTAGGATGGACTCTGACTGGCCCCACAGCCCATTAGCCTGCCTTACCAATGAAGTCGTCTTCACAGCCCAGAAAGGAAACCGAGGTTGGGGAAAGCAGCTTGTGTGTATGGGGGGGAGGGCATGGATAGGAGTGTCCCGTAGAGACAAAACCCAATGGAAACCAGACTTGGTGGCCTCCACCTTCAGTACTGGCCCTGGAGAGACAGAGGCAGGCAGATCTCTGTGGTTCTAGGACGGCCTGTCTACATAGTGAGTTCTAAGTCAGTTACAGCTCCATAAAAGGAGACCCAGTCTATAAAACAAGCAGAACAAGAAAAATGTCACCAGCTGCTAAGGGAGCTCCTTGTGTGCTATAAATGCTGATGTAAAGTGTGCACTCGCTCCCTAGTCCTGCTGCTGGATGCGGTTCCTGTCCCTCACTCATGCAGAGGACTGTGATCTGTGAGGCTACCCCTAAATAAATAACCCTTTATTATAGTCAATTCTGAGCTGAATCCCAATAGTGTGGGATTATTTTGTAACTTCCGTCATCATGTGGCACCCAACGTGGGCACGAACCCTGAGACTAAGAGTCTCATGCTCTACCTCAAATTGGCCAGCATGGGTGACTGTACCCATAAAACCCGAGAGAGCATGTTTTCTTTTTTATACGGGCTCTGTTTGCTAGCTGCCAGTAGGAGCACCAGGGCTTCTTTAAGAGAGGTATTCCTGATTCAGCCATAGGGAAAAAAAAAAAAGATTGCACAGTTTTGAAATGATAACTTCCTGGTTTGTGCTACCAGCACACACTCTGGCTCTTTCAGTTGGCCAACCACTTGAATGGTGTTTGTGGGCAGCATGCTAAAAGTTACTGGGTGGCAGCATGGGCCAACTGGATGAGTTGGTAAGCATGACTGTAGACGTAAAACAATCCCACACCACTTTGGAATTATGATTAATAAAAGGGTTATTTATTTAAGGGTAAAACTTACAGATCACTGTCCTAGAGAACAGCCCTCTGTGCAACCAGGAACAGAGTCTAGTAGCTGGAAGCAGAGCCGGAAGCAAGAGAGAGAGAACAGGGCTACCGCTGCTTTATAAAGTAAAAGAGACCACGCCCAAGTGGCCTGGTATCTTAAAGGCTATTGGCTGAAGAAATAGAAGGCGCTCCCACAGCACCTCCCCCTTTTGTTTAAGTAAGAAAGTTCCAAACCCGATACAAAACAATATACACTAGGAACAGATATCAAGTATAAGATTACTTTTTTCTACACGTTGATAGAAAAAAAAGATTAGAATTACAGTCAGCATAAACAATATTAAGCAAGGAACATCTGCTAAATGTTTTAATAAACATTCTATCCTAAGGAGTCTAAGTCTTGTATTGGAAATGGCTTGGCTAAGTCATAAGCGTACAGTAACTACAACTATCTAATCTTCAACCCCATCGAAGGCCTGAGAAGGGAGATAATATTACTTGAGCAGACAGAAAGTATAATCAATTAGCTTCCAAAGCAAGCAATATATGACAGAGACAATTAGCCAACTGAGAAATCACCCAAAGTCTTGTTTTGCAACATTGAAGCAACCAAATTTGGCTAAGGCCTAGCTTAACTGACAGACCATTTCAGAGGCAGGAAATTTTTCAAAACCATCTTGCCCTGTCTTAGTAAGATTTGACAGTCCTGCTTATCCATTTCTGAATATTATATAACTTGTCAGTGATTGAGGCATTGTCAGTTCCTTGTCCAAAGGCCAAGTGGAGTGTCTTCAGTGCTCAGCATCCTCTCGGGAATAGATTGGTGCTGTCAGAAGCAATCATGTCTCATGTCAACAGAACCCTAAGTTATTTAAATGCCATGTTCCACAGATCCTTGAAGTGGTTGAAGATTACCTATCCAGACAGAATACAATCTCTGTGTATCTAAAGAATCTAATTGGGGCTGGAGAGATGGCTCAGTGGTTAAGAGCATTGCCTGCTCTTCCAAAGGTCCTGAGTTCAATTCCCAGCAACCACATGGTGGTTCACAACCATCTGTAATGATGTCTGGTGCCCTCTTCTGGCCTGAAGGCATACACGCAGACAGAATATTGTATAATAAATAAATAAATATTTAAAAAAAAAGAATATAATTGATCTGACTATATGTATAACAAACATGAACAACTATTGACCTATAATAATTAATACATGTAGTATTTACTTAGAGAGTAAAACTTCATGTCAGAATATTAAATAATCTGTAAACAAATGTGCAACAAATGAGGACACTGATCTCAAAATATAAACAATCTGTAAGTATCTTGATCAGAGGTAAGAATAATATATAATGCAATATGAAAATATACCCTAAAAGTTGTATCAGTATACAAAATGTCCTAAACCGAGACAGAAACACACATACATACAATCTGACAAAAGAACTTTGTATAGATGTACAAATAATGTAAACAAAAGTAACAAATATAATTTGAACTTGTATCAATATACAAAACTATACCAATGTAAATTATCCATAAATAATAGCTCACAAGTATTCACTCTATTACCCGCTATTACTGTCCCCCCTTTTTTCAAAGGAACATAGTTTTCACCCCAACCCTTATCTAATACAAGTAATAATAAACAACCCCTAAACAGTGTTCCCAACCCTAGGGACAAACTTCGTCCTCTAGAATTGCTTTCCACTGTCATGGGGGCGATGTTCTCTTAATGGAATCCCGCAAAATTAAATTGATGGATAAGTTTCAAAATTACTGTCTAGTAATTTTGATATACTTTTGATATATTTTGATATATATAATTGTCTAGCAAACAATTTCTGAGCAGTCGATAGATTTTATTTTTCAAAGTTCTCATTTAGAGTTCTGGCCAGAATATGAGAAGGTGCACCATTTCAGCAGCTGGTACCCAAAAAAGGAAGCGGTACTAGAGTCTGCATCACGATGTCATCTCAACTAGATGGAGTTGTTGCTGTGAGGTCCCACTTCTTCCTGGAAACTCCAAAGATTACTGCAGGAAAAGGAACTGTAGGAAAATCTATCGTTCATCATGAAAAACTTAAACATCATTCAATAAACATACATTCAATGA